CGCTCAGGAAGGAGACGCGTTCTGTCTCCTAGAGATGAGCGTACTTTGGTGCGAAAAGTGCAAATCAATCTCAGAACAACAGCAAAGGACCTTGTGAAGATGCTGGAGGAAACAGGTACAAAATATCTATATCCACAGTAAAACTAGTCCTATATCGACATAACCTGAAAGGCCACAGCAAGGAAGAAGCCACTGCTCCAAAACCGCCATAAAAAAGCCAGACTACGGTTTGCAACTGCACATGGGGACAAAGATCGTACTTTTTGGAGAAATGTCCTCTGGTCTGATGAAACAAAAATAGAACTGTTTGGCCATAATGACCATCGTTATGTTTGGAAGAAAAAGTGGGATGCTTACAAGCCGAAGAACACCATCCCAACCGTGAGGCACGGGAGTGGCAGCATCATGCTGTGGGGGTGCTTTGCTGCATGAGGGACTGGTGCACTTCACAAAATAGATGGCATCATGAGGAAGGAAAATTATGTGGATATATTGAAGCAACATCTCAAGACATCAGTCAGGAAGTTAAAGCTTGGTCGCAAATCGGTCTTCCAAATGGACAATGACTACAAGTATCCTTCCAAAGTTGTGGCAAAATGGCTTAAGGACAACAAAGTCAAGGTATTGGAGTGGCCATCACAAAGCCCTGACCTCAATCTTATAGAAAATGTGTGGGCAGAACTGAAAAAGCGTGTGCGAGCAAGGAGGCCTACAAACCTGACTCAGTTACATCAGCTCTTTCAGGAGGAATGGGCCAAAATTCACCCAACTTATTGTGGGAAGCTTGTGGAAGGCTACCCGAAACGTTTGACCCAAGTTAAACAATTGAAAGGCAATGCTACCAAATACTAATTGAGTGTATGTAAACTTCTGACCCACTGGAAATGTGATTAAATAAATAAAAGCTTAAATAAATCATTCTCTCTACTATTATTCTGACATTTCACATTCTTAAAATAAAGTGGTGATCCTAACTGACGAAGACAGGGACTTTTTACTAGGATTAAAAGTCAGGAATTGTGAAAAACTGAGTTAAATGTATTTGGCTAAGGTGTATGTAAACTTCCAACTTCAACTGCATTTATACAGTAACAATTCCCTGTCTTACGTCAGTTAAGATCACCAAAAAATGTTTCTCTTCATACTGTACAATATATATTTTGTCTTTAAAGATGTACAGTGGGGAAAAAAAGTATTTTGTCAGCCACCAATTGTGCAAGTTCTCCCACTTAAAAAGATGAGAGAGGCCTGTAATTTTCATCATAGGTACACGTCAACTATGACAGACAAAATGAGAAAAACAAATCCAGAAAATCACATTGTAGGATTTTTAATGAATTTATTTGAAAATATGGTGGAAAATAAGTATTTGGTCAATAACAAAAGTTTCTCAATACTTTGTTATATACCCTTTGTTGGCAATGACACAGGTCAAACATTTTCTGTAAGTCTTCACAAGGTTTTCACACACTGTTGCTGGTATTTTGACCCATTCCTCCATGCAGATCTCCTCTAGAGCAGTGATGTTTTGGGGCTGTCGCTTGGCAACACGGACTTTCAACTCCCTCCAAAGATTTTCTATGGGGTTGAGATCTGGAGACTGGCTAGGCCACTCCAGGACCTTGAAATGCTTCTTACGAAGCCCCTCCTTTGTTGCCCGGGCGGTGTGTTTGGGATCATTGTCATGCTGAAAGACCCAGCCACGTTTCATCTTCAATGCCCTTGCTGATGGAAGGAGGTTTTCACTAAAAATCTCACAATACATGGCCCCATTCATTCTTTCCTTTACACGGATCAGTCGTCCTGGTCCCTTTGCAGAAAAACAGCCCCAAAACATGTTTCCACCCCCATGCTTCACAGTAGGTATGGTGTTCTTTGGATGCAACTCAGCATTCTTTGTCCTCCAAACACGACGAGTTGAGTTTTTACCAAAAAGTTATATTTTGGTTTCATCTGACCATATGACATTCTCCCAATCCTCTTCTGGATCATCCAAATGCACTCTAGCAAACTTCAGACGGGCCTGGACATGTACTGGCTTAAGCAGGGGGACACGTCTGGCACTGCAGGATTTGAGTCCCTGGCGGCGTAGTGTGTTACTGATGGTAGGCTTTGTTACTTTGGTCCCAGCTCTCTGCAGGTCATTCACTAGGTTCCCCCGTGTGGTTCTGGGATTTTTGCTCACCGTTCTTGTGATCATTTTGACCCCACAGGGTGAGATCTTGCGTGGAGCCCCAGATCGAGGGAGATTATCAGTGGTCTTGTATGTCTTCCATTTCCTAATAATTGCTCCCACAGTTGATTTCTTCAAACCAAGCTGCTTACCTATTGCAGATTCTGTCTTCCCAGCCTGGTGCAGGTCTACAATTTTGTTTCTGGTGTCCTTTGACAGCTCTTTGGTCTTGGCCATAGTGGAGTTTGGAGTGTGACTGTTTGAGGTTGTGGACAGGTGTCTTTTATACTGATAACAAGTTCAAACAGGTGCCATTAATACAGGTAACGAGTGGAGGACAGAGGAGCCTCTTAAAGAAGAAGTTACAGGTCTGTGAGAGCCAGAAATCTTGCTTGTTTGTAGGTGTCCAAATACTTATTTTCCACCATAATTTGCAAAAAGATTCATTAAAAATCCTACAATGTGATTTTCTGAATTATTTTTTCTCAATTTGTCTGTCATAGTTGACGTGTACCTATGATGAAAATTGTATGTCCATAGATGCAACATACCAAATGTGTTGCAGATCGGTCCAGCGGTTCTGGAGAAGAAGACGTTTGATGGTTGCGCTATGGGGCCAATAGGCAGTAGTGTTACAAAACATTATATACTTATCTACACACAAATAGAATAAACAATACATGCCAGCTCATTGGCTTATAGCAGCAATGTAACTCATCCTAGGGAAATGTACCCAAATGGTCTCACTGTGTGTAACAGCTTGAAACCCGGCAAGGCTGCTTGCAGTTATATTTTGATTTATTCTTAGTTTTTTCCAGTTTTATGTTTTCTGTCTCAGTTATCATCATGTTTGTTATATTTGTTTTACATAATGTACTTATTGTACAGTTTTCCCCAGCTTGATTTCACCTCCTGTATAAACACCCTAATCCTGAGTTTGAACCATACCAATCTGTGTGCCTCCTCTCTGAAACCTCCACCGAAAGAGCACCTCAGTTACACACTCCAAGAGGTAGGTACTGGAGTTATGCCAACACCACTGTGAACATTAACTGTATACTCCGAGTACGGTCGGGCCTGGTTGGTCCCTGGATTGGAGACTACCTATGGAAATCTGGTTGGTACTGAAAGTGGTGTTGGAGGGGGAAGTGTACCAAAAAATGTCTGCAGCATTGAAGGTCCCCAAGAACACAGTGGCCTCCATCATTCTTAAATGGAAGAAGTTTGGAACCACCAAGACTCTTCCTAGAGCTGGCTGCCCGGCCAAACTGAGCAATCGGGGGAGAAGGGCCTTGGTCAGGGAGGTGACCAAGAACCTGATGGTCACTCTGACAGAGCTCCAGAGTTCCTCTGTGGAGATGGGAGAACCTCCCAGAAGGACAACCATCTCTGCAGCACTCCACCAATCAGGCCTTTATGGTAAAGTGGCCAGACGGAAACCACTCCCCAGTAAAAGGGACATGACAGCCAGCTTGGAGTTTGCCAAAAGGCACCTAAAGACTCTCAGACCATGAGAAACAAGATTCTCTGGTCTGATGAAACCAAGATTGAACTCTTTGGCCTGAATGCCAAGCGTCATGTCTGGAGGAAACCTGGCACCATCCCTACGGTAAAGTATGGTGGTGGCAGCATCATACTGTGGGGATGTTTTTCAGCGGCAGGGACTGGGAGACTAGTCAGGATCGAGACAAAGATGAACGGAGCAAAGCACAGAGAGATCCTTGATGAAAACCTGCTCCAGAGCGCTCAGGACCTCAGACTGGGGCGAAGGTTCACCTTCCAACAGGACGACGACCCTAATCACACAGCCAAGACAAATCAGGAGTGGCTTTGGAACAAGTCTCTGAATGTCCTTGAGTGGCCCAGCCAGAGTCCGGACTTGAACCCGATCGAAAATCTCTGGAGAGACCTGAAAATAACTGTGCAGCATCGCTCCCCATCCAACCTGACAGAGCTCAAGAGAAGAATGGAAGAAACTCCCCAAATACAGGTGTGCCAAGTTTGTAGCATCATACCCAAGAAGACTCGAGGCTGTAATTGCTGCCAAAAGTGCTTCAACAAGGTACTGAGTAAAGGTTCTGAATACTTATGTGAATGTGATATTTCGGTTTTTTGTTTTTAATAAATTAGCAAAACTTTCTAAAAACCAGTTTTTGCTTTGTCATTATGGGGTATTGTGTGTAGATTGATGTGGAAAAAGTCAAGGGGTCTGAATACTTTCCGAAGGCACTGTACTTAGAGTATCAATATGTATAGTTTGAAATAAAAAAACTCAACTGAATTTAAACATGGTTTTTCCCTACACAGAGAAAATCTTACCTACAATATGTTATCCACGTATATTAAGACCAGAAAACAGTGTATCCTGTGCATCAGATTAAGTTATGGAAATAAATGCTCTGGATTTGTCAGTCCAGTGGTGACCCATAGACCTCCACCTCACACAGGGTCAGGTGTTCACTTCTTCCTGAAATGACCACATTGATGTATTGTGCCTCCATCCCGTTACACTGGAACACGCTGGAGAAGTCCACTATTACACCAGGGGAATCAAACATGTGCAATACAACAACACCATCAGATGGTTCAAAATATATATATTTTAGACCTCAAACATTGGGTCTTAGTGGAAGAAAAACAAACCAAAAATGTAATAAATGATTTAATAAAGAAAACATTTTGAATGTAAACAAGAAAATGAGTGGATTTTATATTCTCATGCAATTCAATCTCATACTGTATACAAAAACAGCGTTTCAGGTGAATGTAATCCTTGGCAGGTTGCAAGGAACTAGCAAGCCATGGTTGTATCGTGAGTACTGATTTATCAAACCAGCTGTGCTCCGTACACTTCCACCTCACACAGAATCAGGTACTCTCTTCTGTCTGGAATGACCACATTGACATATCGTCCTTCCATGCCGTTACACTGGAAGGTGCTGGAGAAGCCCGCTGGGATAGAGGAGATCACAGCACACCTGCAGGATGCAAAATAAATGGATCTGAATGGATCTGAATCTGATTTAGAACAGCAGTAAGAGCAATAACTTTGGCCAATTAACCTTGAACCCAGCTGAATACTACTCTCTCACCAGTGTTCGGGAAGCTACTCTAAAAATATAGTTTACCAAGCTACTGATTACTTCACAATGGAAGAAATTAAGCTACACTAAAGCTACCCTTAAGAAAAATATAGTTACTTTGCAAAAGTAGTTCACTACATCCAAACTACTTTGTGAAAATTATGATATCTAAATTCGAAATGTCATAGACTACAAATTGTAAGAACAAATCACTTTGGGGTCATATGTTAACAGAATGTGTAGTTTAGCCTGCTAAACAAAAACGATGTTTCAAGTGAGATTTAAACAGGTCTGATGCTGAAAAAGAAAGGGAATTCTTCACCCATATTTACTTTTCTTTTTACAAAAGAAGTAGTGTGTAGTTCTAGTAGTTGGCTACACCGCAAAAAAAAGTATTAACTACTGAAAACACTACCAAGATTTGAATTTAGTTCAACTACCACCAGGCTACTGCAAAATGTAGTTTAATTACTAGTTGAACTACATCTAGTTCAGTACTTCCCAACACGGTCTCTCACACAGTGTAGTATCTATGGACTTAAAGTCCCATACTTCACCTGGGATTGTTGTTGCCATTGTTGTTGTCCAGGGAGTTTCCAATACGTATCTCAGCACCATTCAGTCTGCTGGGAATTATGTCTAAGTTATTGGTGATGGTGACAGAGAACACTTTGTAGGTCTTCAGAAGGTCCACCCTCCACCAGGGGTTCAGTTCAACTTCAGTGTGGGTGCAGTGTCACGCTCTGGCTCCGGGACTCTGTATATTGAGCCAGGGTGTGTTCATTATTTGGGTGTATTTCTATGTTTGTATTTCTGTTGGGTTCATTTCTATGTTTGGTCAATGACTCCCAATTGGAGGTAACGAGTGTCAGCTGTCGGCTCGTTATCTCTGATTGGGAGCCATATTTAATCTGTATGTTTTCCTGTGGGTGTTGTGGGTTTTTGTTCGTGTTTGGTTGTGTATTGACCGTCGACTGTCACGTCGTTGTTTTGTTGTTTTGATCGGGTGATCATTAAAATAAATAATATGTTCACATTCAACGCTGCGCCTTGGTCCTCCTCCTCTATGTATGACGATCGTGACAGAAAAACCCACCAAGATGGGACCAAGCAGCGTGTCCAGGAGCCATCGCCGGGGAGATCCCTCACAGATCTCCTTCGCCTCCTGGACTGGGTCAAGCCGAGTGAGGAAGAGAGGGGCTTGAATTTATGGCAGAAGGGCGAGAAGCTGGCGAGGGACATGGAGACCTGGGCCACGGGTAGGAGAGACGCCCCGAAAATTTTTAGGGGGGGGCTCACGACGGCGGACCAGCAGGAGGCCACGATAGAGCGGCCCAGTGGGTTGCCGGAGAAGGCCGCCGGGTTACGGGGGCCACTGGTCGAAGAGGGGATGGAAGAAGTAGAGGCACGGCGAGAGGTACTGGCGTGTGTTGCCAGTCCGGTCCGGCCCGTTCCAGATCCCGGTGTAGGGCCAGTGGTGTGTGTCCCCAGTACAGTCCGGCCCATCCAAGCTTCCCGCACCAAGCCAGTGGTGTGCGTCGTCAGTCCAGTCCGGCCCATTCCTGCTCCCCGCATCAAGTCTGTGGTACGTCTCGTCAGCCCGGCTCTGCCCGTTCCTGCTCTCCGCACCAGGTCTGTGGTGCGCGTCGCCAGCCCAGTCCGGCCCATTCCTGCTCCCCGCATCAAGTCTGTGGTGCGTCTCGTCAGCCCGGCTCTGCCCGTTCCTGCTCTCCGCACCAGGTCTGTGGTGCGCGTCGCCAGCCCGGCTCGTCCCGTTCCTGCTCCCCGCACAAAGTCAGGGGTGCGCTTCGACAGCCCGGCTCGGTCCGCTCCTGCTCCCCACACCAAGCCAGTGGGGTGCGGCGTCAGTCCGGCACGGCCCGTGCCTGTTCTCCGCACCAAGTCTGTGGTGCGTTTCGTCAGCCCTGTCCGGGCCGTTCCTGCTCTCCGCACCAAGTCTGTGGTGCGCGTCGCCAGCCCAGTTCGGCCCATCCAAGCTCCCCGCACCAGGTCAGTGGTGCGCGTCGTCAGCCCGGTCCGGCCCGTTCCTCCTCCACGCATCAGGCCAGGGGCGCGTGTCGTCAGTCCGGCTCCGGCCAACGGGGCTAGACAGGACCAGGGGTACTTTGGGGGGTTGGAGAGGAGGTGGGGATCAAGGACGGAGCCAGAGCCACCGCCGAGGAGGTATGCCCACCCAGCCCTCCCTTGTTTAGCCCGTATTGAGGCGCGGTCGCAGTCCGCGCCTTTAGGGGGGGGGTACTGTCACGCTCTGGCTCCGGGACTCTGTATATTGAGCCAGGGTGTGTTCATTATTTGGGTGTATTTCTATGTTTGTATTTCTGTTGGGTTCATTTCTATGTTTGGTCAATGACTCCCAATTGGAGGTAACGAGTGTCAGCTGTCGGCTCGTTATCTCTGATTGGGAGCCATATTTAATCTGTATGTTTTCCTGTGGGTGTTGTGGGTTTTTGTTCGTGTTTGGTTGTGTATTGACCGTCGACTGTCACGTCGTTGTTTTGTTGTTTTGATCGGGTGATCATTAAAATAAATAATATGTTCACATTCAACGCTGCGCCTTGGTCCTCCTCCTCTATGTATGACGATCGTGACATGCAGGAGCCATGTGCCCAACAGCCATCACGGTTCCCGTCAATGGCATTGTACGCAGATCCAAATTTATGAAGTGAAGATTGGGTGGCTTTTCCCTTCAACGACACATTCTCTCCTGGACACAATAGCAGGACATTATACTTTGTTTACTGGTCACTATATTCATATTTTGTTTCTAAAGAAGCTAGACCATGAGTGTTGCAGATGTTGCTGAAGATAAATGAAAATACATTTAAGAGAACGGAGTCCTACCAGTTGAAGAATGGTACCCATACACCTCCACTTCACAGAGAGTTAGAATTTTGTTCTTGCCTGGTAGAACCACAGTCACATAACGTCCTTCTACACCTGATGTCCACCTCAGAGTGAGAGATCTACCTGCTGGAATGGATTGAATGACCCCAGCCCTGAAGAGAAATAATAAGTTATCCTAAAGGAAGAGTCTGCAATAGAACAGTAGAGTGCACTCTTAGAAAAAAAGGTGCTATCTATAACCTAAAAGGGTTATTCACTGTCCCAGAATCAGCTTTGTACATAACCCTTTGGGTAAATTCCAAAATGAAAATTGCAGGAAAAAACCCTTTCTAAAATTTTGCCCCCACTTTATGTGAGCGGTTTTAAGGGAAACAGGATGGAAATATACCTTTCGAAATTTAGAAAGAGGGGGGATTAAAGATGCAACTCTAAAAGGGTTTGGCTAATATGACTAGAATAATGCTTTGGCTGTTTGCCCAATAAAAAAAAGTTGAAAAAAAAACCAAATAAAACAGGAAAACGCAATGATTTTAAAATTTTTATAAAAATAATTCCCTGTTTCTATGGGGGGAAGGGTAAGGCACTTTAAAGAAAGGTAAAAACACCTATAATATGACGAAAAAACGCCCAGGTCGCATTCAACATGAGATTAATTTCAATTTCCCCAAGGTGAAAAAACCAGTAAGAAATTTTACTTTTCCCAACATTTCAGATAGCCTATATAAAACCCCTTACACGTAATCACTTATCGTTTCACAAGTAGCCTATTTTTTTTTATTTTTTTTAAAATTGTACCGAAACGTCCTTTTCCCAACAGCTGTCGTGTTTATTTTTATAGGGTTGGTTTTTTACTCACACAAAAATTGGGATAAAAACGTGGTCATGGGCACGTCTACCCATGGTTTTTAGCCCTTTTTGGGGCATTATTCATTTAAAGGGTTAGTTTGGTAGTATTCACTTCAAGCCTACTTTCAAGTGTTGATTTTTCATCTTTTGACGTCTTGTTTTTAAGTAAAATTAAAATAACATTATGTAAAAAAAATTTAAACACACTCCCTATTTGCCCAAAAAAGGGGGAAAGGGCTTCAAGGGGGATTACTGGTGGGGTTTGTCATATTATTTCCCTTTAAAATGTCCACCCGGGGGTTTTAGACGTATTTTGATTTATGTTGATTTGGTCTTGTCCTGGTCTGGTAACACCAGCCATATATGAATGCAGTGGTTAAAATTTTTAGGTTTATGGTTTTAAAAACTTAAAACCAAGGGCATGATTTTTGAAGCCGGAATTTAAAAAAGCTCCCAAGAAATTAAAGTCATATGCGGGCCCATCCCGACCAAATTGGGGGCCCTAAAATTTCGGGGAAAAGAAAATTTGTTACAACTTCAGGGGGAACAGGCTAGGGAAAAGAGTGGTTTGTTTTTTTTCAAAGGACAAAGGAGCGCATATTTGCCCAATTTATTTGGGTTTTTAACAGACTAAAAGCACAAAAACCCAAAAACAATGGAAAAATTCCAGTTTTTCACAAATTAATTGGGGTCCCGTTTTTAAAAAAGTGCAGCTTAAAAAGGGCTCATAAAGCCTTCATAAACCCCTTCAAAAAATAAAAATAAATTTTTTTCCCACATATCTAAAAACCTTTGTCATGCTGTATAAAGGGTTCATAAATGTGGCAAAAACTTTTTGGGAAAAACCCAAACCAATGTCAAATATGTTTAAAAACCCTGTCCCTTTAAAAAGGTTGGATAAGAACCGTTAAAAAGACCTTATAAATATATTAAATTGAGGTTTCACAAAACTTTTATAACCCTTCAACTTTTGGTAGAGCATTGAAACGCCGGAATTGGGTTGATTCCCAGGCCCATCCCATACGAAAAAGTATTCATGCAGACTGAAATTTCGTTTTCGAAAAAAGTTTCTGAAAAAATTGTTATATATTAGATTATATTTCCCCAAAACATTTATAAAAAAGGGCCCCAACCTCTTTCCCTTTTGGGTTTTACATGTAAAATTTTGGGCCCAAATCAACCCCCAAAAAAGGGCCGTGTGCAGGAAAAAAACGGGACCCAAAGTGCATTTCATGAACGAAAAAACATGGTGGGGCCTTTTTAATATTTTTTTATTCATTCCCAATTTCATTTTTTTCCCAAAAATTTCCCGTTTTTTGGTTTTTTTTTTCCCGGGTTTCGGTTTCCCCCCTTTTTTCCCGGGTTCCCCCAAGTTTTGGGAAAAAAATTAAGAAATTCGATTTTTGGGGTGTAGTTTTCCTTTTTTCAGTGGGGCATCCCCGGGCTTTGTTTTGGGAGCGGGTTTTTCTTTTTTAGTGAAATAAGCACAAATGGATGTGGATTGGGCCCCCCAAGGAAGGGGTTTGGAGTAAAAGGCCCGCCACACTCCGTATTATTTAGAGCCCCATGAAATGACACCATATATACATTCTATTGAGTATTCCCTACAATACTTTTACTGCTGCACCCAGAATAGTTCTTGCTCTAAGCCAATATGTATTCCATATACAGTGATTAGCATTGGGGGCATTTATTGACCCTTGGAACATGTTTTAAAACCCACATTTAATGCAAATGTCACTTAAATATCAACAAATATGAATCATTGTTAATGTTTAGATAATTATTTGTCATATATCATAAATAGTTATTGACACTTTTCTGTTATTACATGGGGGACTTTTATTTAGAAAATTTCAGAAATTCTGTGACTCCGGAAGGCCTTTTTTAGTGTTGCTGATGAGATGCTGATCATGTGATGAGTTCGAAATATAGTTAGCTAGCAGGCTCAGCTAAATACATATCCCTTAGATACAGCTATGTCTCATAGTTACGTCATGAGATTTGTAAATGAAAGAAGAATATAATAAACAAATTTAATGGAGATTCCCATCTTCACATTTTTGAGTTTCTGGTACGGCACAGATATGCCCTTATCCAGATGGTGTGACAACGGCATTTCCTAACAGACCTATTAACTTTATTTGTTGTTACTTTAAGGTTGGAACCAACATGCAGTACCTCCAGCAAGAACGGAGGCAAGAACCATTCGTCCACCAGCTCAGGGACAAGCCACACTATTCACAGCCCTGTGTAATGTTCAATGTAATCGCATTGCTGGACTTTTTGAAACATCAAATAAAAAGAAATGTATGGTTTAGACACTTGTTTTAGCTATTAGTGACAATTCCCTAAGTGTTAATACATGTGTGTTTACATCATTAAGCCATTATGTACACTACAGGTCAAACATTTTGGATCACCTATTCATTCAAGGGTTGTTCTTTATTTGTACTATTTTCTACTTTGAAAGTTTCTTTAAGTGCAATCGCAAAAACATCAAGTGCTATGGTGAAACTGGCTCTCATGAGGACTGCCACAGGAAAGGAAGACCCAGAGTTACCTCTGCTGCAGAGGATAAGTTCATTAGAGTTACCAGCCTCAGAAATTGCAGCCCAAATAAATGCTTCACAGAGTTCAAGTAACAGACACATCTCAACATCAACTGTTCAGAGGAGACTGCGTGAATCAGGCCTTCATGGTCGAATTGCTGCAAAGAAACCACTACTAAAGGACACCAATATGAAGAAGAGACTTGCTTGGGCCAAGAAACACGAGCAATGGACATTAGACCATTGGACATTTTTGGTTCCAACCGACATGTCTTTGTGAGACGCAGAGTAGGTGAGCAGATGATCTTCGCGTGTGTGGTTCCCACAGTGAAGCATGGAGGAGGAGGTGTGATGGTGTGGGGGTGCTTTGCTGGTGACACTGTCAGTGATTTATTTAGAATTCAAGACACACTTAACCAGCATGGCTACCACAGCATTCTGCAGCGATACGCCATCCCATCTGGTTTACGCTTAGTGGGACTGTAATTTGTTTTTAAACAGGACAATGACCCAAAACACACCTCCAGGCTGTGTAAGGGCTATTTGACCAAGGAGAGTGATGGAGTGCTGCATCAGATGACCTGGCCTCCACAATCCCCCGACCGCAACCCAATTGAGATGGTTTGGGATGAGTTGGACCACAGGGTGAAGGAAAAGCAGCCAACAAGTGCTCAGAATATGTGGGAACTCCTTCAAGACTTTTGGAAAAGCGTTCCTCGTGAAGCTGGTTGAGAGAATGCCAAGAGTGTGCAAAGCTGTCATCAAGGCAAAGGGTGGCTACTTTGAAGAATCTCAAATATAAAATATATTTTGATTTGTTTAACACTTTTTTGGTTACTACATGATTCCATATGTGTTATTTCATAGTTTTGATGTATTCACTATTATTCTACAATGTAGAAAATAGTAAAAATAAAGAAAAACCCTTGAATGAGTAGGTGTGTCCAAATGTTTGACTGGTACTTAATGTGCTATAAATGACCAAAGGGGTCTGACTTTAAATTAAGTACAGCATCATGCGAAGGTGTCTCATTTCAAATTAAGTATTACTGGACACTACATAAAGTGTAAATAAATAGGTTATTAACATTCTGCTGATTTATGAAGTTTCTGTCATGATCCACAGGTTACAGTAGTGTGTGAGAGGCTGTTTAAATGGGATGATGGACCTGCAAAGCTTGCGTTTGTGTGTCAGAACCAAGATGATTTGGAGTAGTCCAACCTGAGACTACCGCACCAGATTTTCCTCTTCTGTTCCCATGCTGGAGACCAGAGCTTGTTTACAACATGTTACAATGGTGCTAACATTTTGTGGCTGATCTTTCAGCGGGGGAGTGAGTGAATGTGTCAAAGATTTGACTGGGTCCAGCACCACGCGGTAAGGCTCGTTTTTGTTGTCTGGATGTTTTGTCTTCTAAAGAACATGTAACTTGGTTCCAGAAGAAAGACACTTTCAATTTCTTTAGGTTGGGGGCTTTCATCAAGGTAAGTGTTTCTTGGTGTAACGTCACCCCCAGGCTATTGCACCACACAGCACACATAAGCCTGGGATATCAACCATTTAAAGTTGTGTGATGGAAAAATGTTATGTTGGTGCTTTTCTATTGACCAATTTCTATGTTCTATGTTTGTGCTTTTCCATAAACCAATTTCTGTATTCATGCAAGTGACTGATTGAACGAATCCTCACTATCCAGTGTCTGCAATTTGACAGTATGCCCAGAACCTTCTTTAGAGAAAGGGATATCTCAGTTTCAAGGTCTCAGCTTAGAGAGAAGAAGCCTCGTGAGGTATTGGTCTGTCACATGCATGACCCAGAATTGGTCGGTCACATAAATGAAGCAAACGTTAATGATTAATTAATTATGAATAAGCTAAATCATGCAAATATAACTTGTCAGTATATAAGGGAACTAACGGGACTGCCCCGTTAGAGATTCTGACAGATGTTCACTATGGTTCATTGTTTGTTAGAACCTCTCCAGCGCGTTGACAGTAGACAATGATTAATTTAAGATTGACTTCAAGTGTCCCTGTGTAAGAATTTCCACGACAATTTGGCGATGATTGATTCTGCCTGCGGAGCTTTCCAGTGGGGGTCTGCGAGGAAAACCGGCGGCACATGTTATGAAGCGTGAGGGAAATGACCAAAAAAGGACCAAAAGATGACGAGACCCAATAAACAACAACACTGCCTGTTAAATCAAAAACAAATCAAATTAGAATTACAACTCTTGATAACTCCATAAGGAAATAATTGTATCCCATAAGGTAATGGTAAAATAGACTAGAGACAGGTGTCCCTCATTCAGAGGCAGCACTCTCTCTCTGTCCTTCTCGTGATTCGAAATACACATAGGACTATTGATGAATTATAAACTTCTTCTAATTATTAGTGTTTACATCTCACCCAATGTCTCCAGTCTTTCTAGTGAGGGTGATCAGGCCTCACCAGGAAGTGACCTTCTGAGCATTTGGGCGGAAGTGTTTGGGAACGAGATTAGGTGTAATGTGACTAACATGACATCACTTTAGAGCGTTGCCATCCTTCAGCATGTCACCCTTTATAAAGCACATGTTTACATCATATTCGACCTAGTGGATTATGTCACATTTGACATTGGCGATTATGTCACACAGTTATGCCACATTTATGAACCCTTTATAAAGGATGACATACGGTTATAGATGCTTTGTAACAGATGTATATAGTGCTTATGAAGGCATTATGAAGGCTTTACGAAGCCTTTATAATCTGAACGTCATTTAAAGCGGGACCATTAATTCTAACATAATAGCATTAGTATTACAGCATTACATGTATTTCTAGGTATTAATAATAACCATCTAACCAATAATTAGGCTAAAAGTTTTACAAAAAATGTTTGCCAATTTATACCCAAACATCCAAAAACAGTGTACAAACAGAACTTCCAGAATAGTGTACCAAATTCGTTTTTGTATACTGAAAGTAAATACACATTTTTGATAATTAACATAGTGAAAGTATACAAAACATGTTTAATTGTTTTCTGTAAGACAATACAGCCCCCAAACATTGCAGGGTGCTGTTAAGACTTAATGATCTGATTTAGTTACATGTAGGCCCAGTCCCATCCAGGGGTGACCCGTACACCTCCACCTCACACAAGGTCAGGTACTCCTTCCTCCCTGGAATGACCACGTTGACATATCGACCCTCCATGCCATTACACTGGAAGGTGCTTGAATTGCCACCTGGGATAGAGGAAATCACAGCACACCTGCAGGATAAAAGATAAACAAACTACTATAGCAACTTCTGCTCAATTTCAAATTGATATCTAGCCGCTATCTCTAGCCGCCCATCTGCAGTTCAAACAATAACAAAGCGGCACCCCGCAACTGTTTTGGTAAAAAAAACTGAGGGATGAGGCTGGATTAATGTAACCTCTTTCAAAATCATAGGCAGAGCTATGTATGCAAGTACTGACCAACTATGATATCAACATTATAGTTTTAACAATGTTTTGAGACTATACCGTGTCAATTTACATCTACATTGTTTACAAACATTGGAGTAAAACAAGTTTATATTTTGGGTTCTGAACTAAGCTCATGAGGTATTTATGAGCTATATACTTCAACATCAATGGGTATAAAATCATTAATTTAAAAGTCAAAAAATGGATGTACCATTCGCCAGATTGCCCCTTTACGGTACCCGTAAGTACCTTAGCCAGGATAAATGTACGAATATGGTTATAGTTCCAACTTGGCTCCTGATTGGCTAGGTTGGTTTTCCATCCTTTTTTGCTTCAACTAATCTTTAAAACATATAAAAAGGACCTCAACTCTACTACAGTAATTCACCTGGGATTGTTGATGCCGTTGTTTTCCAGGGAGTTTCCAATGCGAATCTCAGCTCCATGAGTCTGCTGGGAACACTGTCGACTGTGTTGGTAATGGTGATGGAGAACACTTTGTAGGTCTTCAGAAGGTCCACCATTCCACCAGGCGTTATAGTTGGCTTTGGTGTGGGTGCAGGTACCATCTTCATAAATACATTTCGGTTCCCATCGATAGCATTGTTAGCAAACCCAAACCCATGTAATGATGACTGGGTGGCTTTCCTGTCATCGCCACATTCATTCCTAGACAAAAAATGTGAAAAAAAATGTTTTGGGCCCTGTAAAAACACTTTTAAAAGGGTTTACAATTTATATAAAGGGGGGTTTTCCCATAATGCTTTCAAACCCACCTTTATGAAACCTTAATGCCCCCTTTCGTAAAGGGTTGCAGATCATTCATAAAAAAACCTTTTTAAAAATAAAAACCAAAAATTTTTTATTCAAAAATTTTTTAAAATTAAAGAACCCCTTTTAAAAAAAATAATAAAAAAAATTTGGGTTTTTCCCAAATTTGCCCCCCGATTAAATAAATTTAAAAAATTTGAAACCCCCCCCTAAAAAAGGCCAAAGGAAAAATAAATTTGAAAAACCTTTTTTAAAAAAGGGGAAAAAGGTAAATGTTTCCCCAAATTTTAAAATGGGTGGAAAAATAAAAGGGGGTTTTGGGGGGTCCCAAATCTCAAAAAAAAACCAAGATTTCTGGGGGCCCTCAAGAAACTGTAAACTTTTTTTCCTTAAAAGGCTCCCTCTTTTTTCCTCCCATTTTTCGTTACCCCTTGGGAAATTAAAAAAGGGGGGAAACCCCTGTTGGGGGAAAAAAGGGGGGGGTTTTTTCCCCAAGGGGATAAAAAAGGAAAACCCCTTTGAAATTCCCCCCCCCCAAACCTCCAACCACCCACCCCCCCTCCCCAAACCCCCTTCCCCCCCCCCCCCTTATTGGCCAAACCCCCCCCCCCCAAAAAGAACCCCCCGGCCCCCCCAAAAAAAAGGCCCCCCGGGGAAAAACTTGGAAAATTTTCCCCCCAAAAAGGTAACCCCCCAACCCCTGGTTTGAAGAAAAGAAATTCCCAACCCCCCTGTTTGGGGGAAAAAAAAAAGCCAATTTAAAAAATTAAAAAAAAAAAAGGAACTTTTTTTGGAAAAAAAAAAAAAAGGAACCCAAATTTACCAAAAGAACCCTTTTTTTTGATTAAATCCCCCCCCCTTCCGATTTTTGGGGCCCCCCCCTTTCCCACGCAAAAAAAACCCCCCCCCCCCCCCTTCCCCCCCCCCCCCCTTTTTGGGGGTCCCCAAAAATTAAAAAATCCCAAAGAACCCCCTTTTTTGAAAAGCAAAAAACCCCCCAAAGAACCCCAACCCCCCCCCCCGGGGGCCCTTAAAAAAAAGTTTTTAAAAAAAATTTTAAACCCCCCCCTTTTGAAACCCCCCCCCGAAGTTTTTGGGGCCCCCCAAAAAAAGAGTATTTTTCCCCCCCCAAATCCCCCTTTAAACCACCCCCCCAAGTAACCCCCCAACATTTTTTACCCCCCCCCCCCCCCCCCGCCCCCCCCCCCGGGACTAAAAAATTCCCCGTAAAAAAGTGAAAGAAACTTGTCCCCAAAATTCCTTAACCCCCCCCAAAAAGGCCTCCCCCCCATCCCCCCAAAGGCCCCCCGCCCCCCCTAAAAAGTTTCCCCAAAAAAAAGAAAGTCCCCATTTTGGAAATTGGAATTCCCCAAAAAAAAGAGGATTGGGAGAATGCCCCCCCCCCCCAAAAATTGGCAAAAAGGAAACCCAAAATAAAAGAACCCCCTTTTTGGGGTAAAAACCCCCCCTTTCCCCAATTTTCCCCCGTTTTTTTGCCCTTTTTTTTAAAAAAAACCCAAAAATTTTCCCCCAACCCCCCAAAAACCCCCCCCCCCTTAAATTGAAAGCGGGGGGTTTGGAAAAAAACCCCCATTCCCTTTTTTCCCCCCCCAAAGGGGCCCCCCCCAACCCTTTGAATTCCCTTGGCCATGATCGGTCAAAACTCCTTCAGCATGAAGAAAACATGCCTGGGTCTTTCAGCATGACCAATGATCCCAAACACATCGCCCGGGCAACGAAGGAGTGGCTTCGTAAGAAGCATTTCAATGTCCTGGAGTGGCCTAGGCAGTCTCCAGATCTCAACCCCATAGAAAATCTTTGGAGGGAGTTGGAAGTCCGTGTTGCCCAGCGACAGCCCCAAAACATCACTGCTCTAGAGGAGATCTGCATGGAGGAATGGGCCAAAATACCAGCAACAGTGTGTGAAAACCTTGTGAAGACTTACAGAAAACGTTTGACCTGTGTCATTGCCAACAAAGGGTATATAACAAAGTATTGAGAAACTTCTGTTATTGACCAAATACTTATTTTCCACCATAATTTGCAAATAAATTCATTAAAAATCCTACAATGTGATTTTCTGGAATTTTTTTCCTCATTTTGTCTGTCATAGTTGACGTGTACCTATGATGAAAATTACAGGCCTCTCTCTTCTTTTTAAGTGGGAGAACTTGCACAATTGGTGGCTGGCTAAATACTTTTTTCCCCCACTGTATATATATATATATATATATATATATATATATTAATATACGTTCTTACCAGTTGGAGCAAGGTAGCCATAAACCTCCACTTCACAGAGTGTAAGAAGTCTTTGCTGGCCTGGTAGAACCACAGTCACATAACGTCCTTCAAATGCTGGGTTCAAGTCCAGGGTGAGAGAACTGCCGGCTGGCACAGAGGCAATTGTTTTAGCCCTGGAGAGAGAAATTAATTTTTACTGACCTCTGTCAAGATACTGCATCATATACTACATAACTTTATTTAAACTAAATAAACAAGGAACAGGAGATGATATGCTGATGTCTACAACTGTGCCTCTGGTCTGGTGGTAACCTATGAGTGGGGTTGAATCTTTTCACCAGCATTGCTTGATTCTATCTGTCCTGTCTGCATGGGTTTTTATGTACAGTATGTCTGCTATTTATACTGTGGTCACTCTAATTTAACTCTTCAAGGATGTAAACAGTAGCAACACATTGTATATACCATTTTTTTTAAACACAGTATCTTGACTCACAAAGGGTTATGAATGGCATTGTCCACTAAAGAATTTCCTATTCGTATCTCAGCCCCGTTAAGCCTCTCAGGAACAGCATCCCCTCTGTTGGTGATGGTGACGGAGGTGACCATGTAGGTATCAAGCAGGTCCACTCTCCACCAGGGGTTAGTGGATTCATCAGTGGCAGTGCAGGACCCATGATGAAAATGTGAATCGCGGTTCCCATCAATGGCATTGGAGGCATGACTAAAACCGTGCCATGGGTTCTCGATGAGGTCTGACTGTGTAGCTTTTCCACGCAAGGCAAGATTTTGTGCAGTGAAATATATACTTGAGTGAGTATAGAGGAGCAATTTAATGATGCATTCAAAACAGAATAACATAGTTTTCTAATCTAAAATGTCATGGATTAAAGCATGACATTTGGTACAAACATTCCTCAGGTGATATGAACATCCTAGAAAGGGTGCTCATTGCAAACTTAACGAGGATGCGGAATTCAAAATGGCCACCGATGTAGATGTAATTAATCTACAGTAGTAGATCTGTGCCAGCACAGAGGGATAGGCCAACGAGTGATACAGTATTTGCTTCAGTAAGGTTGGCTTCTTAGCATTCATTGCAATGGTTATCAACTGTACCGCAGAAATGGAACAAAAATCATAGAAAATAGATTTTGTGGTGGCAGCTGCAGAGAAGTATTTGGACATACGAGATTTTACTTCAGAAGAGTTACAGTGTGTGTTGAGTGGTGGTGTCCCGTCCTCCCAGGCCGTTGGCATGGTGCAGGAGCAGATATGGTCAAAGTAGTGGAATGGGGTAATGGGTTATTAATGAATGTTGGGTTAGTTGGAAGGGTGTTTTTACATAGTATTATTATTATTATTATTATTATTGTTAATAATAATATTTATTTTTATTTGCTTTATTTTCTATCACAAAGTAAAATGGATTTATGTCATAGTCCAGTTGGGGGTGGTAATGCAACATATTGGATGCCAACCGCCCTTAAACTCCAAAGAAGAAGATATATTATATATATATATACACTACCGGTCAAACGTTTTAGAACATCTACTCATTCAAGGGTGTTTCTTAATTTTTACTATTTTGTACATTGTAGAATAATAGTGAAGACAACAAAACTATGAAATAACACATATGGAGTCATGTAGTAACCAAAAAAGTGTTAAACAAATCAAATTATATTTTACAGTGGCTTGCGAAAGTATTCACCTCCCTTGGCATTTTTCCTATTTTGTTGCCTTACATGCTGGAATTAAAATAGATTTTTTGTGGGGTTGTATCATTTGATTTACACAACATGCCTACCACTTTGAAGATGCAAAATAAAAAATGTTTGTGAAACAAACAAGAAATAAGACAAAAAAAACAGAAAACTTGAGCGTGCATAACTATTCACATCCCCCAAAGTATATACTTTGTAGAACAACCTTTTGCAGCAATTACGGCTGCAAGTCTCTTGGGGTATGTCTCTATAAGCTTGGCACATCTAGCCGCTGGGATTTTTACCCATTCTTCAAGGCAAAACTGCTCCAGCTCCTTCAAGTTGGATGGGTTCCGCTGGTCTACAGCAATCTTTAAGTCATACCACAGATTCTCAATTGGATTGAGGTCTGGGCTTTGACTAGGTCATTCCAAGACATGTTTCCCCTTAAACCACTCAAGTGTTGCTTTAGCAGTATGCATTGCCCTGCTGGAAGGTGAACCTCCGTCCCAGTCTCAAATTTCTGGAAGACTGAAGCAGGTTTCCCTCAAGATTTTCCCTGTATTTAGTGCCTTACATTATTCCTTCAACTCTGACCAGTTTTGCAGTCCCTGCTGATGAAAAACATCCCCACAGCATGATGCTGCCACCACCATGCTTCACTGTGGGGATGGTGTTCTCGGGGTGATGAGAGGTGTTGGGTTTGCGCCAGACATAGCGTGTTCCTTGATGGCCAAAAAGCTCAATTTTAGTCTCATCTGACCAGAGTACCTTCTTCCATATGCTTGGGGAGTCTCCCAAATGCCTTTTGGCGAACACCAAACGTGTTTGCTTATTTTTTTCTTTAAGCAATGGCTTTTTTCTGGCCACTCTTCCGTAAAGCCCTTCTCTGTGGAACGTATGGCTTAAAGTGGTCCTATGGACTGATACTCCAATCTCCGCTGTGGAGCTCCTTCAGTGTTATCTTTGGTCTCTTTGTTGCCTCTCTGAGAATTCCAAGAGTGTGCAAAGCTGTCATCAAGGCAAAGGGTGGCTACTTTGAAGAATCTCAAATATAAAATATATTTTGATTTGTTTAACACTTTTTTGGTTAGTACATGATTCCATATGTGGTATTTCATAGTTTTGATGTCTTCACTATTATTCTATAATGTAGAAAAAAAAAAGAAAAACCCTGGAATGAGTAGGTGTGTCCAAATATTTGACTGGTACTGTATATATTTATCATAGTGATTCAGGATTAACATAACAAATTATGGTATGCCCCACCAACATCAGACAACTATACAGAAAACCTTAAAAAATGCTGAAATAAGTAGTAAAATCAATGATCAGAGAATAGTCAGATTAACTGACAACTAAAATAACAGTGCAGATGGCATTATTTTGCTATGTGCATAATGTACAGTGGGGTCCAAAATTATATAATCTCTGTGGAACTGGTCATCTCTGTATACCCGTCGCAAGACCCACTGGTTGATGCTTATTTATTAAACCCTCTTAGGCCTCACTCCCCCCTATCTGATTTATCTACTGCAGCCCTCATCCTCCACATTCAACACCCGTTCTGACAGTCACATTCTGTTAAAGGTCCCCAAAGACTTTTAGAATAAGGCTGTAACGTAATAAAATGTGGAAAAAGTCAAAGGGTCTGAATACATTCCGAAGGCACTGTAACTCATAATATCATTAATAAATATAATACCATTTGAATTTTTAAAAAATCCATAAAGAATGTTTTTTTTTATCAATCAGTATGTTTGAGTTTAACCATAATATTTGTTGTAATATTTGTTCTGTCTTTTCTGGATGATAAAATTGAAATTGTAACCAGCTTTGTATGGCTTGTTTAAGAAAGGGCCCTACTTTTAACAAACCTTCCATGTTATTGGTAATGGTGAGAGATTAACATATCTTGGGGGCAGGGCTCTTGATTAACATGTTACATTGGTAGCACTGGTGCTCACAACATTAAAAAGTTAGGAGCACAACATAACATTTAGGAGCACCAGAAAATAAGATTGTTTTAATTGATTGAGATATAGCCTATATTGGGCCTATACGAATGTCTAGCTACCTTTGTGCCCTATAAAATAATATTTTAACCCTATAAAGACATTTATTTATTATAAAAAGCTAAAATGTTGAGACAAAAACCTGTCATTGAAATTACAGTCATTTTTTAAATATTAGGTTTCTATATTGTGTAAAAGCACTACCTATTGAATTCATTGATTTCCCGAAGAAGCTATCCCTTTTCCTTTCTTTCTGTGCCCACAAATGTTTGTATATAGTGTTAATTCAGTAACCAGATTGTTAGCTAACTAGCTAATGATGTTACATGACTGAACAAGGTGTAAACAAATGCCCCGTGAGTTGTTTTGGGACATCTTGCCAAATGGTTTATGAATGTATAGCCAATTCATGATAGGAAGAAAAAGACGACAGCATGCACGGTAATATGAGAATATATTTGTACCTGTTTGTGCTAGAAACCTAGTTTTAGTTAGTTCAGTTTTCACTGTAGTAATGGTGCAACGATGATAGTAATGAATCTGTGCTCAATTTTATCTCCAGTTCACTCGAAAACAGCGAAGCCTAATCATTACAACAATTTGTATCTGGGTGATTATTTTTCTAGACGCAGATTTCAAATTAAAATGACAGGTCGCACAGCAAAATATTTAGGAGCATATGCAACCAAAAATGGTCGCACTTTAGAGCCCTGCTTGGGGGTATGATCTTTGATCCTCTGTAACTTTCTCACTCATCATTATTCACGATTCATTGAGGTTTACCCGTAATCATTGTAGCATCCACATTAATGTAGAAGTGTTTAGAAACATATATTCTTATTTGCAGTAAAAGAGACTCCAAAATGACACAATGCATTTACTATTCATGTCTATTGGGCACAAAATAATCTGAAAAAAAGTTTGATGTAGTCATTGTGTGCTAGGAATATGGGACCAAATACTAAACTTTTGACTACTTTATTTATAAGAATCAATCATTTTGACCCCTACCTTTTAGAGAAAGAAAGTATTACTTGTTAAACAAAAACTTTTTCTCTGAGCAATTGTAGTAGTTTTTAAGTGCATAGTTGCTCAATGGTGCAGACAGTGGTAATGGCATCTTTACTTGCACAATTAAGTGTATCCAAAACCAGAAGCTCTGGACATTTATCCAGGAATGGAATCCCAATGCTTGAGATTGTGTTGCACAGTTGGCTACTTGTTTTTTGAATGTTTGCTTTTGTGATGAACTTTGCTCGTGTTCAAGATTTTGTTTTAAAAGGGGACTCTAAATTCAAAAGCTGAAATTCAAAATCAACCAGTAGTCTGGTCTGCTCAGATCCTGCTACCATCCATCTCTGGAAGGCAGTGGGGTTCTCTGTTAGACCAATGGCTCCCCCTGATCCTTTTTACCAGCTAATGGTTTTGCTCATGGGCCTGGTCAAGTGGCATGTATTAGGACTTGTTTTGTGTTTTTGGCAGGACCCAGAAGTCTGAGAATTCTTCTCTGATTTTAGCTGGTAGAGCTTTCATGTCTCGAATGTGGATAGGAATCCACCTTGCGTAGTTTATTATGTCCAGTGCAAAGAACCAGGGTGTCAAGGCATCTTATCAACACAAAGACCAAAATCTCTAGTTCTGTGTGCACGGTCAGTCTTTCAAATTCAAGAACAAAGTTCCAGAGCTGGAAGGTTGGATACCTGCTTTCTGCTTTCCATGTATCAAAAGAAGAGCATGTGGACTCCAACAACCAAGCATCTTTCAGGAGTTTTGACAATGAAAGCAAAGTAACTTGATGACTGTGCCTGGTTTCGGTCAAGCGTGCTGCCTTCAAGAATGAGTCTGCTGTCCCTGAAATTGGCAACCCCAGCATGGGCATACCCAGCACCTTACAACTTTCCCTTTGTTTTTCTTTCAAAAGTAGTGTACTGGGCCTTTGCTACTCCTGTATTCAACATTGCAGCCCCACAAAACTAGAATAGTCCCAGTAATACAAATGGCGTTGAAAATAAGTCTAAAATACGTATTTTCCGGACGTTGAAAATACCTATTTTCCAGACATTGAAAATATTATTTTCCGGACGTTGAAATCAGGTTCATTTTCGGTTCTGAATTAAAGTTGAAAAGACATCATTTAGAC